AAACCTGTCATTATTTTTGGCTAGAGTTATCTCAATTAAAATTGAACAAAGCAGAAATGATATATAGAAATTGCCATCACCAATGCAGAACATATACACAGCCAAAATTCTGAGAACTATGCAATGAACTGACTAGTATGTATGTTTATCATTGCACAATAGTGGATGAAATCAGAAAGGCTGCATTATGTTAGCAAGCCAAAGAGTAAAGAAAGATCCTGCATTTTTGGAGCAACAAGCATTTTTAGCAATGTCGCCATGAAGTTCTGGTAGATAGCATAACAGGCATTGTCATCATTGCTAAAACAAAACAAAAAAAGTGTTTTTATCCTGGGCTATTAGGGTTACCAACTTTGGTTGGATGAATTCTTGGAGGTTTCATAACATGACATTATCTTTAATTAAAGATTAACATTTAATTCCTGGAGATTCCATGACAATTCTGGAGGGTTGGCAACTCTATGGGCTATCCTGCTGTAAAATCCTAGTGGAGACAATGCACCTGTAGTTTTGCCCTAAAGTAAACCACAATCATTAGATTGTAAACTCTTTGAGGTCAGGGACTTTCTTTTTCTTCTGTGTTTATACAGTGCCTTGCACAACCATGTCCTGGTCCATGACTGGGGCTCCTCCTACCTGCTATGATAAACTAGTGAGGTCAACCGCAGGTGGGGGAAGATAGCATTGAATTAACCTAGCTACCTGGTGGTTAAAATCTACAGCTGTCTTCTTTCACCTAGGATTTTACAGCAAAATAACTAACTGGTTAGTTATATGATGGTGAACTCCACCTTTTTGGCAGTAAAGACAAGCCTGAAAGTGGCTGGAAGTCTGGCTGTCACAGCAGTCCTGTGGCTCTCAGGATGCTCTCCACACAGCGCTAAGCGGCACTGCTGTTCTTATTAGGGCTGGCTGACTGCTCCCAGCCCTTCCCACGGGTCATTACAAATCCCCATGGATTTCAGTGGGGGCACGATGAGGCCTGTAGCTGTAGGTATAGCAACATAACTGTAACTGTCACCAGAACTTCTGAGCAGCAAGGGATTGTAGTAATAAATAAATCCTGGCCTAGCAGTCAGAGCCTTTGACCAGATTCAAGAGACTTGGAGTCTATTCCTGGCTCTGCCACTGACCTACTGGATGACATTGGGCAAGTCACCTCTCTCGCACCTCAGTTTCCCCATATGCAAAGTGGGCATAATGATACTGACTTCCTTTGTAATGTTCTTTGAAATCTACAACTAGAAAGTATATAGAAGATGAGGTATGCCTGCAGGAATATATTTGAGGTCAAACGTTAACCACTTACTTTAAAACCAGGGGGGATGAGCACTACAACAGTTCACAGTGGGGCAGCCACTCAGGGCCGGCTTTAGGCCGATTCGGCCGATTCCCCTGAATGGGGCCCCGCGCCTAGAGGGCCCCGCGCAGCTGTCCATCCGGCCCACGGCCCACTTACCCCTCCTCCCCTGAACGCTCCACCCACCTTCTCCTCCCCGCGAATCAGATGTTCGCGGGAAGCTTGAAACAAGCAGCAGGCAGGAAGTAAGCAGGGGGGTGGAGGAGAGTTCCAGGAGGGCTCAGTGCGGCCCAGGTCGAGCGCGCAGCTTCCTCTGGTCTGGCCCTGGCCGAACACCCCCAGCCCGGTCCCGGCCAAGTGGCTCTGGCCCGGCCTGGCTCGGGCCCCGCGGCGCCGGTCTCGGTCCCGGCTGAGTGGCTCCAGCCCGGACCCAGAACCGGCCGAGCGGCTCCGGCCTGGCTCGGGCCCCGCGGTGCCGGCCCTGGCCAAGTGGCGCCGGCCCAGCCCGAGAGGCTCCGGCCCGGCTCAGTTCGGGCCCTGTGGCGCCGGCCCCAACCAATTGGCGCCGGCCCGGCCCGAGAGGCTCCGGCCCGGATGTGGACCTGGCCGAGCGGCTCTGGCCTGGCTCAGCTCGGGCCCTGTGGCGCCGGCGCCAGCACGGACCGAGAGGCTCCGGCCCAGGCCCAGACCGAGCGGACCCGGCCCAGGCCCGGACCCAGCCCGGACCGAGCGGACCCGGCCCTGGACCCAGCCCGGACCGAGCGGACCCGGCCGAGCGGCTCCAGGCAGCGCGGTTAGGGGCAGGGAGCAGGTGTTGGAAGAGGACAGGGGAGTTCAGAGGGTTGTGAGGGGGTGGATAGGGGTTTGGGCGGTCAGAGGGC